CATTACCCCCTTGATTTGAAAGGAAGGATCTGGGTCACACCTGGCCAGTTGAGCGGCGCCACCGAAGCCTCGCCGCCTGGGCTGCCGCCGACACCTCCTTTGCCGCTGCCTGGCAGGGCTGCGTTCAGTCTTTGGCTGCATGGGGCGGTTCCCTTTCTCTGTCGGTGGGCGGCTCCTAGGTGGCCATCGAAGAGCAGCAGGTGGCTCGCCCCCGGGGTCATCCAATGCCGCTTCCCGCTCTGGCACCGGCTCCAGCGGCTGCTCGCCGAGGCAGCCACGGACCTCACTGTCAAAGCACCATGACAGCTGCTGCACGGAGGACAAGAGGCTCCTCCAGGCCCGGCTGGCCAGCGCGGAGGCACCACCGAAGGAAGCCAGTGGTTCGATTGCAGCTGGGCCAGAGAAGGGGGTGGGAAGAGGGCGATTGGGCTCCCAATGACCCCCCTCTGGGCAGACGAGGAGGAGGAGGAAAGGGGGTTAGGGTCGCATCCTCATTACCCCCAGGATTTTCATTTTTACCCCATTTGGGGTAATTTACCCCTGTTCCCTGACCCCTGAATTAAAGTGACAGTTCCCGAGCAGAATAGTGTAAAAATGTTGAAATCTTCATGAGTGTAGCCTGAGATTCATCACATTCTTTCTCCCTTAAGGAGAAAAACTATAATAGCACCAAGCTATAAATAAGACCTGGTTTGGGAATATTTTAATGAAAGCCTTTATGTACAGGTATGGCAGGCATGCAAAATGCATACAGTGCAAACCAATTAATCATTCATTTTCTCCTATAACTGTAAAACTAATCCAAAAAGTTATTATTCTAAAAATGAAACCTTCATCTGGGTGGTAAATATTAAGGCTATAACAACCAGGAAGAACAAACCTTTAAAACCATGAACCCATGTCTGTGGTGTAGTCTGTGGGTGCAAATGAGATGTATGATCTGATGGTGGTTTAGGGAAGATTACATCTAAAAATCATATGGATATATAAACTTGATAAACTTACTCATAAATAAACCAGGCAACCTACTCACAAGTAAATCAGGAAAAACTTGCTTGAGATCAACTCCAGCCAAAAAAAAGTACTTTCACAGCTGAAATGAGTGAGCTGCTGAATATTATTATCGATTTTTTAAAATATCTTTTTAATAATTTTCACAGGCTGGAGCTAAAAATATACAGTATGGTGAAGAAGGAGTTAAATGCTTTCTTTCACACTGAATGTATTATGACACCTTCCTTATATTAGCTGCCTGGCTACTCCAGACACCTTCTGATTGGCCACAATGCTATGTTATGCAAATAGTGCCTTTGGAAAGCTTGGAAATTATACAAAAAGGAGTGATCTCAGATGTTTTAAGGCTTAAAAAGCATTAATTAAAGGGTCTGAATTAGAGCCATGAAAGAAAAAGAAAACACATAAAACAGAGCAGGGTTTTTTCCAGATATGCAAATTTTCTTAACCACATATTTCATCTCCTTTATCTCTTATCCATGTATTTTATCTCATTTGCCATATCTGAAAGTTGCTTGCATGTACACGGGGGTGAAACAGTGTTACTTTTTTTAAACACCATAACTGAAAAGCCCTTTGCCCTAACATCCCCAAATTTAGCACAGAGCAAGAGCAGATTCAATATAATTATTTGACTTATAGAACACTTTTTTCCTTCCAAGCGCAAAATATATGGCTGCACTATTGTGCAGGTAGCCATACTAACTCTGTTGCTAAGTATGACATATGTAAAAATATAATTCAGAGATTTAGGGATAATATTATGCTGGTTTCTTTGTTTAGGAAACTAAACAAAACATTACAATCATCAGTTATTGTGAATTAAAGAATTAGCATGGAAAATACAAGTATGTGTTTACATTTGTTTACCAGTCTATTTCCAGTTATACAAGCAGCATAATTTTAAATGCAAATTATCATAAATTAAAATATCTTCACATGGGTTAACGACGAAGCATGCAACAGATTATGTGTACAGAAATTTCTTAAATATACACATCCCCTTTTTAATATACTTCTACTTACCTCAGGTTGACTAGAAATATTCAGGATCAGTGCCCACAATTCTGCTCGTAATGAAGTTGGACATCCCTGCCGCACATATTGTTGGGCTGCTGCACTATCCTGCTCTATTAAAACTGCAAGAAATTTAAAAATACATAGATGCAAGAACACACAAACATATTGCAATATTTTATTCAGATGATATTCTATTTAAGGTTTCTTCAAGCTGATTTAAGGCAGCAATAAATACCAAAAATTCAATATGTCTTCCCTGTAAATCGCATCACAGATTTAAGTTATCAATACAGTGGTGCCTCGCTTAACGATTGCCTCGTTTAGCGATGAATTCGCATAACAATGTGTTTTTTTAGAAAATAACATGCACCGTATAACGATGTTTCCTATGGGCGATTTTCGCTTAGCGAAGTTTGGGACTTTCTTTTTTCTTTAATATCAATCCCCACAGCAGTTTTTCTCACACATTTATTGATTTTATGTGATAAAAGAGGACTTTTCCCACAATTTTCTGGGTCAATTTCTTTACTCAGAAAAAACACACATATACACAATAGAAATATGCTTTTTATCACTTTTTTAGCCCTTTATGTAGTATACACTAACAGAACATTGATTGTACTTTATAGGAATCACTGAAACAAACAAAAAGCCTTTTATTTCCAATCAAAATGTTCTATACCAGGCTGTGTGCTGAATACATACCGAACTATATACCATTTCCTAAACAGCAAAGGATATATTGCTTTCTCTTCACTGGAATGTATGACTGCACTGTCGTGAACCCACGTGAAGATATTTTAACTTATGACAATTTATATATATGACGGCAGTGCTGTCATACATATATATTCATTATCACTTCCTCAAAAAGTGTGTAATATTTTAAAATGACATCTTCCTCCCCTGCCACCATTTCTAATGTTTCTGGTCATGATGGAGTATATTTCTACATACCATCTCTCCTACCACTTTATATAGAACCTATTAGTTTGCCATCTCACAATTAGTTAAAGAAATATTATACTTTTGCTTCTAACTCTGAAGTACTATTCCTAAACTCAGTGGCATGAGGTTAGTAACCTTCAGCATCATCTACCAGGAGCTGCAGTCCCCTTGGGCTGATCAAATCTTGAAGTCGCAAGTAGGGACAGCTCATGGACTGAGTAGGGGAGCCCCATCTCAGCATTTCAGAAGCATGACCTGCAGTTTCAAGTGCCAAACCAGGGAGGAAACAGAAGCAGCTCTATTTCATTGGTGTTCCTCTGGTGGGTTCAAAATGACCTTTTTTTTTTTTAAGGTGTCGCAGGAATTAAAGCAAGATATACCAAATATTGTTCTATTTCAGATTTGCAGCCACAACTCCGTCTTAGAGATTCTCATAGAAAAACTCTATCTTGTTTTAGCCTGGCAGATGGATACACTGGTAGCCTAGCTACCTCTTTCTTAATGCTATTAAGCATGGCGTTAGCCAAAGGACAACTACTCCCAAACCTCTCTGGTGTATTTGAGGTTGCCAACCAGCCAGTGCCTCCTTGCCTTGAGGAGAATTTTATTCAGGAACAAACTGGAAGGAAAGGAAAGGTAATTTCTTGGATATTTAGGATAAAGGGAGCAAGGTATCTCAGTGGTTTAGGTATCTGGCTGCGGAATCAGAGGCTGGGAGTTCAATTCCCTACTGTGCCTCGTGTGAACTCCTTGATGATCCACAGAGTCCCTTCCAGCTCTGCAGTTCTAACATGAGAAGAAACAAGAACAGGACTGTGAGATGGCCACTTTGTGTCACTACGTTAAAAAACTCATTTCCATGCATCATAATTCTCTGGTCTCTATACCTATACTTTTAAATCTTCTTAACTTGTGATGTTTCTTTGTATACTATTTTGATACAAAGTGCCCACCTCAAAAAAAAAAAGGGGGGGGAGAGGGAAGGAGAAACTAATCAATCCCCCCTCAAAAACAACCTTTAGGACTCCACTTCCACATAAACCATTGCATCTACCCATCTAAAATTTCCCTGTTACTTAGAGTCACTTCTATGTTGTTTATTTTTTTCAGAACAATGCTCCACAACAAACCAATGACCCTAAGTGTGTCCTGGATGACATAAAGTTTAAAAAGGTACTCTTGTGGGAAAATCTCTGCATCTACTTATCTAAAAATCTGGCAGTCTTACTTCCTTCAGAACAAGACATTATGGCTGCAAGTGTTTTTCAGTTCTGCCAAGAAATCAAAAAGGCACTGGTAATCCATCTATAATGTGTATAACACTAGTCTCTTGCACTTATTTCATTTCAGTCTGGTTGGAACCACTCAGTGACCTATAACCATGTGGTTAACCCCAGGTCTGTCACCATGGTTGGGACCAGTCATGGTGCCTGATTAGAGATTTGACCTCCATATTAATACCAGGAGTGACTGGTAGCTGTAACCGATAAAAATGTGGCCAGTTTTATTCCAGTCAAGGGGTGTGTGTGTGTGTGTGTGTG